TTAATCATCTTACTAGGGGGCTCATACAACTCTTATCACAATCCATACATACATCAATTGTGTAAAGCACATTTGTACATTCATTGCCCTCATCATCCTCAAAACATTTGCTCTCCACTTAAGCCCCTGGCAATAGCTCCTCATGTTTTCCCTCCATCCCCGCTTCCCCCTCCCTCAAGAACCCTTGATAATTTATAAATTATTATTTTGAAATATCTTATACAGTCCAATGTCTCCGTTCACCTACTTTCCTGTTGTCCGTCCTCCAGGGCGGAGGTTATATGTACATCCTTATAATCTGTTCCCCCTCTCTACCCCACCCTCCATCCACCCTCCCGGTATCACCACTCACACCACTGGTCCTGAAGGAATCATCCATCCTGGATTCCCTGTGTTTCTAGTTCCTATCTGTACCAGTGGACATCCTCTGGTCTAGCCAGATTTGTAAGGTAGAATTGGGATCATGATAGTGGGGGGGAAGAAGTATTTAGGAACTAGAGGAAAGTGGTATGTTTCATCGTTGCTACACTGCACCCTGACTGGCTTGTCTCCTCCCATGATCCTTCTACAAGGGGATGTCCAGTTGCCTACAGATGGGTTTTGGATCCCCCCTCAGTACTCCCCCTCATTCACTATGATAGGATTTTTTGTTCTTTGATGCCTGATAACTCATCCCTATGATCACACAGGCTGGTGTGCTTCTTCCATGTGGGCTTTGTTGCTTCCAAGCTAGATGACTGCTTGTTTACTTTCAAGCCTTTAAGACCCCAGACACTATATCTTTTGATAGCCGGGCACCATCAGCTTTCTTCACCACATTTGCTTATGCATCCATTTGTCTTCAGTGATTGCATCAGGGAGTTGAGCACACAATGGTGTGATTTTTTGTTCTTTGATGCCTGATAACTGATCCCTTCGGCACCTCATAATCACACAGACCGGTGTGCTTCTTCCATGTGGGCTTTGTTGCTTCTCAGCTAGATGGCCACTTGTTTACATTCAAGCTTTTAAGACCCCAGATGCTATATCTTTTGATAATCTGGCTCCTTCAGCTTTCTTCACCACATTTGCTTATGCACCCGCTTTGTCTTCAGTGATCGTGTCAGGAAGGTGAGCATCATGGAATGCCAGTTTAATAGAACAAAGTATTCTTGCATTGAGGGAATACTTGAGTGGAGGCCCAATGTCCATCTGCTACCTAAATACTAACCCTATAAATATATGCACATAAATATATTTCCCCATCCTCATATATAAATATATTTACATATGTACATGCCTTTATTTAGACCTCTATAAATGCCCTTGCCTCCTAGCTCTTTCCTCTATGTCCTTTTACTTTCCTTTTGTCCTACTATCATGCTCAGCCTTCATTTGTGTTACTTTCAGCACATTTTTAATGCAGTTTTTCTGGTAAAATTAGGTGCCTCAGTGGATATTTGGGTCGGCTTAATCTGTATATGGTAATATGTTGTCAATTTGAGACTTAAGAGTGAAGGGGTAGAGGTTAGCCTATCAATCAGGCCACAGCTTCATGACCTCATTTGGAGACGCTAAGGTGATAAATAGCTCGCCAGAGCCAAGACACATGCTCACTCCGTGTGAGACATTACTGATGGCGAGCCTGATGGAGCTACACTGATGCAAGCAGAGCCCTGGACCTGGAGGAGCCACATGGAGACCCACGCCAGCATTGAGATGCTTCCACTGTCACTGTATCCACAAAACTTTCTACCCACTGGCCTGTGATCTTTCTGCATTTGGTGTTATCACATGTGTTTCTTGAGTCTGATGAGGAATTTATAGATTGGTATCGGACATATGGGCTGACATCAGATTTATGGACTTGATCTGGACTGGGATGTTTTCTCAATATTCAATTGCTCTTGTATATAAATCTCTTTCATATACACATATGAGTGTCTATGAATTTGTTTATCTAGTCTACCCAGACTAACACACTATGGTACCAGGAGTGGGGTACTAGAGGAAAAAATCATAAAGATGGAGAGTGAATATTCGTTTGACCTCTGCCTCGTTGTAGTTTTTCTTCTGAGGCTAGCCAGAGATCAGATATGTCCATGTGGTTTACTGGAAAGAACATGGGAAGTTAAAGTTTTGATGATTTTGTTTGGTTGTTGTCTTTGGCTATTCTTGTTTGAGATGATGAAAATGAATGCTGTTAATGTCTATTTGAGCTCAGGGGTAGAAATCACCCTTGGATTTCTCAGAAACCATGCTGCTTAGGGAAAATGGCTGACAGAAGGTCAAAATGGCTGACAAAAAGCCTGGCTCTGACTTGATGCTGTCAGAGACCTAATCCCACACTTTGTATCAATGGAATAGTTTAGATAAGGATTCCGAGAAACTAGATAAGGATTGAATTTGACTGTTTTACGAATTGAGATTAGTATGTGAGTAGACTTTATGCTGATTTCTTCTGCTTATTATTGTTCATATAATGATTGATTATTGGGAAGTATGGAAATAGTTTGTAAGCCTTGCCTTCAGCTATTAAAATTTGAATCTTTAAATGGGTTAGGACACGCCTGCAAAGAAGGCTCTGAAAAGATAAGCCGCAGCCAGTACTTTGGAGTACTCAAGACAGTTGCATTCCAAGACACTTGGCTGTTGACAGATTGAAAAACAAAAACAAAACAGAACTCTGGATTTTTGAATTTTGAACTAGTGGTTTACGCTTGAGGCTGGACAAAACCTGGAACTCTGAAGAAAACTCCTATGACTGAACATTAAAGCAAGCCTGTGGGCAGACTGAAATGCTGGCTAGGTGACCACCTGGATCCACTTGTTGAGTGGAAGTGGAAGAAATGTAGTAATAAAAGATGGGTTGAGTCTGGCCACTGACACCCATGGACCTGGTTTACAGGCACTAGAGGAGAAGATGAGAGCAGATTGACTGAAGTTCATTAAAGGGGCTAGGGTTGTTGTGAATTTGTGATGGGGCCCATGGTCTAAAGGCAAGCCAATGAGAACCTTGGGAGGCTAACTGAGGTAGCCCATATTGTGTTGACTAGAACCTGACTAGATGAAGAGATTTCTGAGCCTGTGAACTGGTGCTTATTGATGCTGACTTTATGGATGACCTGTCCTGATTTGACTTTGCTTAAGGATGCCGTCTTCACAAGCTTCCAACTAGAATGAAGAGTCTTCACATCAAAGGTTATGATTGTCTCCTCAGAGCACTGGGTTGATGTAAGTAGGCAGTATAGAAGTTGGATACCCAAAATGGGGCGGATAAAGGTATGAAGTGGTTGGCTTACAAAGTTTCACAGGTGCTGGAATATATTCATAGGAGGAGTATAGGATTAAGGTGGAGGTGTTACTTAACTGCAATTGTTAGGCATAGGATATTTTTGTTTTGTTCACTTATAGAATTTTATGTTTAAATGAGGGTGGCTCATATTAAATGTATGCATTTTAGTTTTATCCTGTTAGGTACAGATATGATTTTATTATTATTTGTTTGAAAATTGTATATGACTAGAGTTGTGTGAAAGTGTCAAATTGACAAGGAGTAGTGGTGTGTGGTAATTATATAACCCGTTGTCAATTTGAGACTAAGAGTGAAGGGGTGGAGTTTAGCTTCTAAATCATGTCACAGCTTCATGACTTCATTTGGAGGCGCTAAGGAGATAAATAGCTCACTGGAGGCTGGACACACGCTCACTTCCTGCGAGACATTACTGACGGCGAGCCTGATGGAGCTACACTGATGCAGCAGAGCCATGGACCTGGAGGAGCCACGTGGAGACCCACGCCAGCGTTGAGATGCTTCTACCGCCACTGGATCCACAACTTTCCACCCACTGGCCTATGATTTTCCTACATTCAGTATCATTGCATGTGTTTTGTGAGTCTGACGAGGAATTTATAGATTGGTATCGGTCATATTGCCTAATATCAGACTTATGGACTTGATCTGGACTGAGCTGGGATGTTTTCTCAGTATTCAATTGCTCTTGTATATAAAGCTTTTTCTTATACACAATATGAGTGTCTATGAATTTGTTTCTCTAATGTACCCGGATGATAGGAAAAATTAAACAGCAGAGATGAGGGGAGATACCAGCACACAGGACCTCCCAGGAGAAGCTTGAAAGCGGCAAGGCCCTTCCTCCAGAGCCCACAGCAAAAACCTTCCCTGCAGCCGGCACCCTGCATCAGACTGCTGAAGTGGGAGGAAGTAAACTCGTTACAGCCGAATTGTGGTATTTCTGGTACAGCGCGCTGGGTAGTTGAGACACTCCACGTGTCTGGTTTTACTTGCAACCACTCCTGTATAGTATTCTATATTTGCTATTCTCTATTGACTGTGGGCTGAAAACCAGTTGTTCATCAGTTGGGCAGTACACTAATTAATTACACAGGTATTGTGGTGGAGTTAAATTTCTTAATATGGTTCTTCTACCCAAGTCTCTAAATCCCACCAAATGCTCTGTGAATAGGGCAGTTGAAACTGAGAGGGGTTGGTCAGTTGGCATTACCATTGCCCTAGCTCCCAGGATGAGCCTGCTCTGAAGCTAGGGCAGGAGAGGAACCTGGAGAGCCTTGGCAGAGCTTGATCAAAAAGCTGGGCCCAGGTGCATCAGACTGGCATGGAGACTCAGGGCAGTGCCAACCCTATGGGGGTATCTTCTCTGGTCCAGCACGATGTGTCTGAGGCACAGAATGGGGTCTGGCCTACATAGGCTAAGTCCAAGGGACCACTGGTGAGAGACTAAGAACCGGTGAAAGGTGTGGCTACCACGTGGCTGAGCAGGTGAAAGCCAGAGGCTTGGCTGCCAGATGAGGCCAAGGAACTGCATCCTTCTTGTGTGCTGTTCTTGATGTGTGGTGATGACCTCTTAACTTCCCTAATAAACCCCATCAATGGTACTGTCAGTGAGTTCTGTGTGGCCATCACAACGATGGCTACGTAGGCCATTTTGGGGGCACAAGGCTCTATTTAAATTGCTTAAATGAAATAAATTCAAAGTAAATACATTGTGAAAAATACACTTTAATCCCAAACTTTTGAACATTAGCATTTAAAAAGTCATTTACAATGGTATTTACAATCACTTTTACAATCTAGCATTTGTGAACATATAGGTAACTACAGAGGAGGAGGAGCCTTTGGGTGGTGCCAACAGTTAATGCTTTGCTGCCATTACCTAAAGGCTGGAAGGTAGAGCCTCACAGAGGAATCCTGGAAGAAAAGCCTGCAGGCCTACTTCCAAGACCCCGAGCGAACTCTGTGTCGCAGTCCCACTCTGACGGGTTTCTGGTTTCCACGTACATAGGTTATGGGGGGCGTATGTCCAGTTGCTCCTTCCCAACACACAACCCCCAATCGTGCGACAAATGGGAACAGTCAAACTGCGCCAGGTCAAAATCAAGAGCAGCTCAGATGGTAACTATGTCCCTCATGTTAAAAAAATTGGTTAAATTTATAAGAGGCAATGTGTGCAACCTCCAAGTCCCTCCACTTTCTAGACTGTTCTCACTCAACTCGCTACACCTACCACGTACGCTAAACCTTTTACGTTCAGATATTGTTTATGGGCTGTTGTTAAGGGTCAGTGGACAACTTGGAGATGAGCTTCTCTAAAGAGATCAGTCCTAAGGAGTTAGCGACCGTTGCCCAACAGTGGTTCCAGAAACCATCGAGTGGGATGTCTGGACACTTCGTTCCCCGGGTGGCTTTAAGAAAGCGGGTGGTTTGTGCTGTGCTGTAGAACCTCACAATTAATTTGGAAGCCTTATTTTGACTAAGCACAGCTGAGCCACAGAATCACTCTAAATACATTTGCTACAGAACAATCAGGGGAAGATTTTAAAAGCCTAACCCCACAACACCATCTACCAATCATTTTCTTTAAGGTTAAAGCAGCATATGATTTTTTTTCTGTAAGAGCATTTTCCAGGTGAGGAAACTAAGGCTTATTTGACTTTATGATACGATTGTTTATTTGATTGTAAGTTCTTGGAGAGAAAGCTAAACTTGTGTGAGTGTGTGTGCGTGCGCGTGTGCATGTACTATCAAAGTTAAACAGCTTTTTCTTAAGATATTACATTTTCTACTTACAATCCAGTCCTAATAAAGTGCAAAGCTGACTTGATGTCTTTGCCCGACGTATAGTCTATGTTCAAGTATTGAGAATCAGAAAGCTAAACTTTTAACATTTTGCTTTTGTGAAAACACTACCCATGTCACAACAGGTTCTAGAGAGTAGGTATGGAGAAAAATGGACATTACCTGCGTTTCTCTAAAAACGACAGGCTTTGCTTGGGAAGATATACATGTGGGTGAAACATTTAACTTCAAAATGTATTTCTTTCTTCTCCATTTGCTTTGCAGGCAACTCATTCTTAACAAACAAGCTCAGGATGACTGGTCAGCAGCACAAACACCTTTCTGAGGTCGCTTTTCCATCTAAGAGTTTCAGTAAGGAACCATGTGCCAGCAAGCTGGTAAGACAACTGGAAACCCGGCTTTACACTTTAAGCTACACGTGGTTGGCAACAGTTTCCTTAATCGTTATTGCAGGGGTAGGTCCAACATGTGTCCATATATAGCCCTTCTCGGGTCTGGTGGGAACGGTGGGGAATGGGGATGACCGCGACTTGAAATATTCAGAAGGCGCATGACAGACAAATTCCAAGTATTCCATCTTCCTGGGCAGATCTTCCTCTGGTCCTGAAAGGCAGTCAATGAAAAGGTCACATATACGCGGTGTTTTTTATGAAACCGTAAATTCCTAGACACTGGGGGGGGTAACAGGCAAGGAGCCCTGGCGGTGTAATTGGTGGAGTTACACACGAGCTAACTACAAGGGCAGCAGTTTGAAACCACCAGGCTCCTGAGGGAGAAGTGAGTCTTTCTACTCTCTGTACAAGTTACCATCTCAGACACCCACGGGGCAGTCCTACCCTGTCTTGTAGGGTCGCTGCTATCAGAGCTGATGACCTGACGTAAATCTTTGAAGTACGTCTTACTCTGAAGTTTACACTCTCCATTAGTGGTTCTCATTTTTTTTAAATTTTAATCTTCTTAAGGAATATAATATTCTCCCCCAAACTCAATACAGAAAAGTAAAATCTAACAATTACATAGTGTTTATCAAGTACCAGGTATTAGACACTTTACATATATCTATGCTTTATATCGTTACACTATCTCTGAAGTGAGAATCATTATTTCTTACATTTGGGAAAGTCAGGTAAGAAAGATAGTAAGGACCTTGCCCAACAGCTAGTGAGTGGCTGGGAGTTTGTGCTTTTAACCACAAACCAGGCTACACAGTCTCCTCTGGAAACCCACCGCCGGGGAGTCCACTCTGACTCACAGTGGCTCTGTCCCACTGAGTGTCTGGGGCCACGTGTCTTTACAGAACCAGAGTGCCCCATCTTTCTCTCATGTGGGTTTAAACTGTCAACTTATCAATTAGCAGCTGCACACTCCTCTGGGCGGGATGCATGTGGGAAATGTGGGGGACTGGGTGGAAGTGGAAGGTGATGCTTGTACAGCACTGCCCATGGAGAGTACATGGGCATCCTGCCCCAGAGAAGAGGTTACCGCAAGTCCACTTTTGTGTGCTCTGCTGTGTCACAGGGAGTGACAGAGGTCGGGTGGCTCTTTAGCACCCAATGAGAACAGCAATGCACTCATAAGGAGTCCCTGAGTGGTGCAAATGCTTAATGAGCTTGGCAACTAACCCAGAGATTGCAGGTTTGAGTCCACCTAGAGGTGCCTTACACTGAGCCCTGGTGGCGTAATGGTGACTCATTGGGCTGCTAAACACAAGACCTGCAGTTTGCAACCACCCTGAGAGAAAGACAAGGCCCTCTCTTGCCGCAGAGTTCCAGTCCTGGACAGCCGCAGGCAGGCAGTCCTACCCTGTTCCATGGGAACAGACGAGATGGCAGCGAGAGGCGCCTTGAAGAAAAACTGGGCCGTCTACTTCTGAAAGATCAGCCACTGAGAACCCCACGGAGCACCGTCTCAGACACACACTGGGTCGCCGAGAGTCAGAACCGGCTTGACAGCAGCAAGTGTCATGTATTTATAAAAAGGAAAGCCAACCCTGAGACTGTAGCTAACTCCACACGTTGGTGAGAATAAACAAACTGGCGGCCACCGAGTGGATTCTGACTCGTCCGACAGGACAGAGTAAATCTTTGAGAGCATAAAGCCTCATGTTTCTCCCCGTGAAAGTAACAGGGGAGCAATATTTGTTTGTTTGCTCATAAGGCAAAGCACAATGCATCCTTGCTGCAGAAAAACTGAAAAATTCAGGATAATGTAAGAAACATGAACACTTCAAATCTCTACTAATCTTCTTAGTACCTGTTTTACACAGCACCAGACTTCATTGTGCGCATGAACCTGTAGCTCAGGTGCCAAGAAACTCAACTCACCTATGATGTATGAGGCGGGGTCAAACTGGTCCCTGGGGCTGGAGAGAGTGGGGATGAGCCAGGTGAGCGCAGCGCTCTTCTCACAGTACTGGTCCTGAATGAAGCCCCGGATCTGCGCGTAGTAGGGCTTGCCATCTTGTTCATCAATCACGGAAACAACGTCTCCAATTTGGTAATACACTCCCTGGGGGAGATAGATGATCATAGTCCAGATTTCAAACAAAAACAGCACCACAGCTGAAGCTAGAAAGCTTCTTAACAGGAAAGCGATGGTTCAAAATGGTCCATAAAGATCTTTGAGAAGGTCTCACAGGCCAATTTTATAAGGCAGTGCCAATTTTCACCTTGATGGAAAAAAAATGCCATTTATGACAACTTGCACCTGGCGAAAATACTTCTTTATTAAAACACTTGGATTGCATATCACAGCAGTACTAGCTCCCCACCCCAATTCTTTTGGCCAGGGATACAGGGAGAGGGTGAGAGAGCTGGGCGTGCCGCGAGGCGGAAGGTGCGCAGACAGGGAGAGGGTGAGAGAGCTGGGCGTGCCGCGAGGCGGAAGGTGCGCAGGCTCTCGCACAGCTCGGAGTCTTTCGGTGCTTGTCTTCAAGAGCAGAGTCGCACGGGCACCCACTGTGCTCTCCCCTCCCCGCTGTCCTTCAGAGAAATGAGAGGTTGCTTGTAGGGCCGCTGAGGTGGCTCGAACCCCAGTGGCCCTGGGCACAACAGAGCCCTGCTGGTCCTTGTTCCCACGCATATGGACATTCAAATGAAAACGGACTAAAAGTTCTTTTAACCTTTTTTTTTGCAAATAGTCAACGTTTATTGAATTTTCCTTAGATCACACAATTTGAATGTCATCTATTTTGTAACAGAACTTGAGTGGTGATGTAACAGTAACTATCTTTTTTTTTTTTTGCTTACTTTTATTGGGGGCCCTCACATCTCTTATCACAATCCATACATTCCTCCAGTGTGTCAAGCACATTTGCACATATGCCGCCATCATCAATTTCAAAGCATTCTCTTCCCACTTGAGCCCGATATCAGCTCCCCATTTCTTCCCCCTCCTCCTCCAGCTACCCTCCCTCAAGAACCCTTGATAAGTTATAGATTATTATTTTCATCTTAATTCCTGCTCCGTCACCCCTCACCCACTTTTCCGTTTTTTGTTCCCCTGGGAAGGGATTATAGGTTGATCCTTGCGATCGATTCCCCCTTTCTCCCCCACCCCCTTCCCCTAATTCCTGGTATCTCTACTCATTATTGGCCCTGAGGGGTTTATCTGTCCTGGATTCCGTGTTGCAGGCTCTTATCTGCAGCAGTGTGCATGCTCTGGTCTAATCCAATTTGTAAGGTAGAACTGAGGTCATGATAGTTCAGGTAAAGAAGCACCAAAGAGCTAGAGGAAAGTTGTGTGCTTCATTGGTGCTATACTGTACCCTAACTAGCTCATCTCTTCCCTGTGACCCCTCTGTGAGGGGATGTCCAATTGTCTACAGATGGGCATTGGGTCTCCACTCCATACCCACCCCCACATTCACCTAGGGTATGATTTTACTCTGGATCTTATATGCCCGATACCTGATCCCATCGACACCTCATGATCGCACAGGCCGGTGTGCTTCTTCCATGTGGGCTTTGTTGCTTCCGAGCTAGATGGTCGCTTGTTTACCTTTAAGCCTTTAAAACCCCAGACACTATATCTTTTGATAGCCAGGCAACATCAGCTTTCTTCACATTTGTTTATGCACCCATTTTGTCTGCAGCAATTTTGTTTTGTGTCGGGAAGGTGAGCATCACAGAATGCCGGACTGTTAGAACAAAGTATTTTGTTGAGGGAGTACTTCAGGTGAGGCCCAATGTCCATTTGCAAACTTAATTCTTAACATATAGCTAGGAGTACATAGTTCTATTCCCCTCTAACTTTAAAGTGTAACTATCATCACTCTTTAGGATACATTTATTTCTATTTTACCATATATTAGAGCTTCAAAAAGTTCATGGACATGGAATTAAAAGATAATGGAATTTTACTTGCACTTTTCCTCAGGCCGTTTTTCATAATGAATAAATAGTTTAACACCAAATGTGCAATAGTGCGAGCCGAGCAGCAGGGCAAAGCCGTGTCTTCCTGGGAGATTCATTCGCACGGCAAGGTTCCCAGCTGGCACCTGTTACTCTTGCTGGTGAGTAGGTTCTGGGTCTTGGCAGCCATGCGTCTGACACACTGCCAGGTGCTGTGCTACCCTCACACTTGTCACGAGGTCGCTGTTCAGCCACTGTGTCAACCCATCCACGGCAGGGTCTTCCTCTTTTCCAGCCCTTCTACTTCACGACCCATGATGTCCTCTTCTCTCCTAATCACATGAGACCAAGTCTTGCCATCCTTGCTTGTAAGAAGCATTCTGACTGTATTTCTACCAGCACAGATGTGGGGGTTCTTTTGACAGTCCAGAGTATTTTCAATACTCTTTGCCAACATGATGATTCAAATGTATCAATCTTCTGTAGTCTTCCTTATTCGTCGTCCGATTTTCACATGCATATGAGACCCTTGCTTGTGCCCAGCACACCCTAGTCCTCAAAGTGACACCCTTGATCTCCAACACTCTGAAGCGGCCTTGTCCAGCAGCTATGCCCAGGGCATCATGGCCTTTGTTTTCTTGACTATTGCCTCCATGAGCGTTGAGTGAGGATCCAAGCACGAGGGAATCCCTGACAAACTTCAATCTTTTCTCTGCTTTTCATTAAGAGCTTTTCCTCCCTCATCACAGACTTCTAGTAGAGGTTAGTCCTTACTCCCACCCTTAATCTTCTCACCTCTGCCTATGGGGACAATATCAGTACTAACTCTGCACAAAGACACGTGGGCCTCCACTTGTCCCTCTTGCCCTTAGATGCCACACGCCAACAAAGGAAGACTGCTTCTTCCCAGCTCCCCAACACACATTTGCATTTCAAGAACAAACCCCCAAACCTGTATTAAAATGTACTCCAGCCCCTTATCCTATTTCAATAAGAAACTTCCCAGCCCACCTCAGTGCCGGATGTTTCCTCACGGCTGCCTAGAAGAGAGCTGCGAAGCATTTCTGAGGAAAATCCCATTATCTTTTAATCCCATTTTCCAACACGCTGTGAAAAGCCCCTTCATAGGTTAGAACAGAAAGCATGATCGTGTCCTTTACCGAGCAGCAGAGATCCCTTTTGGCTCAAGCCGGCCTTCTAACAGCATATTAACCAAGACGCCCAATCTTCCTTCAGCAACTACAGACGTTTACCTTGTAGAAGATGGATTCTGCTGTGATTATGGTAGAAACAGACTCTGGAGCTTTGATGGGCTACGGAAAAAGAAAAGAAAAAACCTGAGCACTGTCAGAGTGCACATGAAAGGCGTCTTCCAGCCATCGAGCAGAGTTCTTTAGCATGAGAAATACTAATAGCAGGTAATATGTTGTCAAACTCAAACTCACTGTCGTCGCGTCTCTGCTGTAGGCTGGAGCAGAACTGCTGCTGTGCGGTTCTGAGGCTGACTCTACAGGAAGAGAGAGCTTCTCTTTCTCCTAGTGAGTGGTTTTCAACAGCTAACCTGTGGTTCGCGGCCCAACCTGTACCCTACTGTGCTACCCCGGCTCTCTGTTCCAACATGGGGGGAGGGGACAAAGAACAAATGTCTCATTTTAGGAAAAGTCAATTTAAAAAAACACAGTTTTCAAAGTAAATTATATCAAGATTAATTAGAGAGGATTTCTCTCAGTAAAGACCTGCCCGTCACCCTGAATGGGCCTGAGGTCTTCTGATCTCAGCAGCAGAGCGGTGTCAGGCCTGGTTAGGGCCTGGATGGGTGCGCAGGGCCCCTCTCTGCTTTATAAAGGGATGCCCCCAACTTCAGAAAGGCCTGGCCGGTGAGTGAAGCATGATAGTGAGAGGTCTGGGTTTTAATCTATAATGCATTATACACACGAAGCTCCCGCCCTTGTGCTTACCAATGTGTTTTCTACAACCTCCAGTACAGGTCTTTCAACAATTCATTTTCTTACCGCAGAAGAGGAGGTAAAGACAGATTCGGTAACATTTTTCTTCCATAGCCATCAGATACATCATCATAAATCAGTAAAATGTATTTTCTGCGGCCATAGTAAAAAATATACAAGCAAATGAGTGCACACAACCAGACTCATTTTTACTTAGGGCTTTAAGGAATAAAGGGAAAAAGGGTGGGGGTGGGGTGGGGTACTTTTTGGTTTTGTTTAAGTATCTATCTATGCCAAACACCTCAATTCTTTTACATAAAAACTCAATAGGCACAAGCTTTATATTTCCTCTACACTCTTTCATATTTTTCAGGGGGAAAATGGAAGGCTGTCAGAGAAATGGTGTTCATTTTATCAACCGTTAAATCTTCAGGAACTCAGTGGACTCCTGTTGAGTTTCCAGGATTCTCCAGAAAGGTCCCTAAACGCAGTCAAGGCTCACAGTGAGCAATGAAGGCGGTGGCTAGACACACCACACATGCAACGGAATTCCATGGAATTACAGTAAAAGAGGCTGCCCACAATCATCTTACATTTTTTAACTTAAAAATATGTCTTCTCCCTTTTCCTTTGGTGGAAACTTTCTTTTCAGCAGCTGGAGCAGACTTATATTTAGTATTTCTGAGCCGAGCGGACCTCCTGTGAATTTCCTGCTTGCTCTGTTATTATAGAGAGTTAAAGAAGAAGAGTAAGAAATAAACACGAAGGTTGCGAACCCCAAACATCTTAGAAGAATCCCAGAGTAGACATTTACAAAGATATTTTAAAAATCAAGAGTACTCCTTTTCTTCCGTTTAAGGAAAAACAAAACTGGCTAACTACACTGGGGACCAAAGAAAAGACAGAGGGGCCTAGGCAAGCATTCCCCCACCCACCCCAAGACTCCAAGCTCACTGCCATTAGTCAGACTCAAAAGCATTACTTGAGCTTAACACACAGGCAGGAGCAGGGGCAGATCTAGGCCCAGGCCAGAACTATCTACGTATTTGTGGTGTTGCTAACACAGAGAAACACTTAACATACTCCCAATGTCAGGAACGTTTGTGGCACTCCCTACAATATTTATGCTGCCCCTTACAAGAAAGACGTAACAATCTTAATAATACAACATACAGAGAAAGTACTTTTATTAACGGGAAAGGAGGTCTAGGGCACTCAACATAGGCAGCACGACCTCATTCTCGTCTCTAGGTAAGCATGTGTATACTACGATGTCCGCATGCACCCCAAAATACTACTTATTACGGGGGGGGGGGGGTTTCCGAAGGGCGTACTTGGAATTTCTCACAATAAGCAAAGATACTTAGAACAGGCAATACCAATGGAGGTCTTTTCATCTGGGGGTGTGAAGGGGGCGGTCCGGCCCAGTAGGGGCGTCGCGATCCGGG